TCAAGGCTGTATATTGTCACCCTGCTTATTTAACTTATATGCAGAGTACATCATGAGAAACGCTGGGCTGGAAGAAGCACAAGCTGGAATCAAGATTGCCGGGAGAAATATCAATAACCTCAGATATGCAGATGACATCACCATTATGGCAGAAAATGAAGAAGAACTAAAGAGTCTCTTGATGAAAGTGAAAGAGGAGAGTGAAAAAGTTGGCTTAAAGCTCAACATTCAGAAAACTAAGATCATGGCATCTGGTCCCATCAATGCAGATGGTGATTGCAGCCATGAAATTAAAAGATGCTTACTCCTTGGAAGGAAAGTTATGACCAACCTAGACAGCATATTAAAAGGCAGAGACATTACTTTGCCAAAAAAGGTCCATCTGGTCAAGGCTATGGTTTTTCCATTAGTCATGGGTGGATTTGAGAATTGAACTATAAAGATAGCTGAGTGCTGAAGAATTGATGCTTTTGCACTGTGGTGTTGGAGAAGACTCTTGAGAGTCCCTTGGATTGCAAGGAGATCCAACCAGTCCATCTTAAAGGAGATCAGTCCTGTATGTTCATTGAAAGGACTGATGTTGAAGCTGAAACTCTAGTACTTTGGCCACCTGATGCGAAGAGCTGGCTCACTGGAAAAGATCTGGATGCTGGGAAAGATTGAGGGCAGGAGGAGAAGGGGATGACAGAGGATGAGGTGGTTGGATGGCATCACCGACTCGATGGACATGGATTTGGGTGAACTCCGGGAGTTGGTGATGGACAGGGTGGCCTGGCGTGCTGTGGTTCGTGGGGTTGGAAAGAGTCGGACATGACTGAGGGACTGAACTGAACTGAACTGATGATGATCTTTCCAAATAGGTAAATCTATTTTATCACGGAGTTTTTTATTTTATGAAATGACAAGTGGTAGTTTCTGTTTTCATTTCTTCTGCTTGGGTTATCAATAATATCTTTTGTGGTTATTTTCCAACATAGCTAGACTTGTATTTGAATAGTGAAAATGTTTTTCAGAAGCTTTTTCTGGATTACTAACAACAAGATGATGATAAAATTTGACCTGTGTGAGAAGATAGGAAAGGAATAGATAAAGGAGAGAGGAAAGAAGGAAACAAAAAACTCAAGCAGAAACGTTTTGATTAGAGGTAGAATGGCTGAATGAATACAAAAGCAAGACCTGTATATATGGTATCTAAAGGAGACCCACTTCAGACCCAGAGATACAGACTGAAAATGAGAGGGTGCAAAAAGATATTCCAAGCAAATGGAAGTCAAAAAAAGGCTGGAGTAGTAGTATTCATATCAGATAAACAAGACTTTAAAATAAAGACTGTTACAAGAAACAAGAATGCTACATAATAATCAAGGGATCAATCCAAAAAGGAGATATAACAATTATAAATATTTCTGCAGCCATTATAGGAGCACCTCAATACAAAAAGCAAATGCTAGCAGCCCTAAAAGGGGAAAATGGCAGCAACACAATAATAGTGGGAGACTTTAATACCCCACTTCCACCAATGAACAGATTATCCAGACAGAAAATAAATAAGAAAACACGAGCTTTAATGACACAATAGACCAGATAGGATTAATTGATATTTATAGGACATTCCATCTGAAAGCAGCAGAATATACTTTCATCTCAAGTGCACAAGGAATATTCTCCAGGTTAGATCATATCTTGGGTCACAAATCAAGCCTTGGTAAATTTAAGGAAATTGAAATTGTATCAAGCATGTTTTCTGACTACAACACTATGAGATTAGAAATCAATTACAGGAAAAAAGAAACTGTAAAAACATGAACACATGGAGGCTAAATAATAGACTACTGAATAACGAAGAGATCAATGAAGAAGTCAAAGAGGAAATTAAAAAAATACATAGAAACAAATGACAGTGAAATCAGGATGACTCAAAACCATGGGATGCAGTAAAAGCAATCCTAAGGGGGAAGCTAATAGCAATTCAGTTCTTCCTCAAGAAATGAGAAAAATCTCCAGTAAACAACCTAACATTATACCTAAAGCAGCTAGACCAAGAAGAACAAACAAAACCCGAAGTTAGTAGAAGGAAATAAATCATAGGCAGAGCAGAAATAAATGAAATAGAGATGAAGAAAACAATAGCAAAAATCAGTGAAACTAAAAGCTGGTTCTTTGAGAAGATAAAATCAATAAACTTTTAGCCAGACTCATCAAAAAAAAAAAAAAAAAGGATTCAAATCAATAAAATTAGAAATGAAAAAAGAGAAATTACAACTGACACCCCAGAAATACAAAGAATCATTAGAGACTACTGTAAGCAACTCTATGCCAAAAAAGTGGACAACTTGGAAGAAATGGACAAATTCTTAGAAAGGTACAGTCTCCCAGGACTGAAGCAGGAAGAAATAGAAAATATAGACCAATCACAAGTAATGAAGTTGAAACTGCAGTTAAAATTTGTCCAGCAAACAACAGTCCAGGACCAGATGGCTTCATAGGTGAAATCTAGCAAGCACAGAATCTTTGTAGTATCCAGGTAGATCAGAGGCCTGCTCTCCTCCTTCTGATGTCTGCACAAGACTTCCTCCATTTTAATTTCCCTAATATAAGTCTATAGATTCAGTACACTCCCTATCAGGTTACCAATGGACTTTTTCACAGAATTAGAACAAAAAACTTTTTACAGTTTTTGTGGATCCATAAAAGACCCCAGATACCGAAGCACTCTTGAGAAAGAAAAACAGAACTGGAGTAATCAGGCTCCTTGACTTCAGATTATACTATAAAGCTACAGTCATCAGGACAGTATGGTACTGGCACAAAAACAGAAATATAGATCAATGGGACAGGATTGAAATACCAAAGAGAAACCCACATGCCTATGGTCACCTAGTCTATGACAAAGAAGGCAAGAATATTCAATGGAGAAAAGAGTCTTTTCAACAAATGGTACTGGGAAAACTGGACAGCTACATGTAAAAGAATGAAATGAGAACACTCCCTAATACCATATATAAAAAGAAAACTCAACATGGAGTAAAGATCTAAGTATAAGACCAGACACCTATACAACTCTTAGAAGAAAACATAAGAAGAACATTCTTTGACATAAACCACAGCAGTATCTTTTTGGACCCACTTCCTAGAATAAGGAAAATAAAAACAAAAATAAACAAATGGGACCTAATTAAACTTAAGAGCTTTTGTACAGAAAAGAAAACTATAAATGAGATGGAAAAACCACCTTAGAATGGGAGAAAATATTTGCAAATGAAAGTAACTGAGAAGGACTACCATATGACCATAATTCAAAAAGACACATGCACCCTAGTGTTCATTGCAGCACTATTTATGTTAGCCAGGACATGAAAGCAACCTAGATGTGCAACTACAGATCAATGGATAAAGAAGATGTGGTATATATATGCAGGGAAATATTACTCAGCCATAAAAATGAACAAAATTGGGTAACATTTGTGGAGATATGGATGGACCTAGAGTCTGTCATAGAGTGAAGTAAGTCAGAAAGAAAAAAGTATCACATATTAATGCATGTATGTGGAATACAGGAAAATGGTATAGGTGATTTTATTTTACAAAGCAGAAATAGAGACGCAAATGTAGAGAATGGACATGTGGACACGGCCTGGTGGGGAAGGGGAAGTGGGGTGAATTGAGAGGTTGGGATTGACCTATGTATACTACCATGTGTAAAATGCATAGCTAGTGGGAAGCTGCTGTGTAGCACAGGGAACTCAGCTCAGAGCTCTGTGGTGACGTAGATGGGTGGGATGGGAGGGGGTGGGAGAGAGGCCCAAGAGGGAGTGGGTATATGTATACATATGACTGATTTATTTTGTTGTACCACATTGTAAAGCAGGTATACCCCAATTAAAATAAATACTTTGACTAAATTCAGAGAAGTGCTGTGTTCAGAGAAGTGCTGTGTTGATTCACATTTTATATTTATGTTTCTTTTGAGAAACATAATGATAGATTTGTAAAATGTATGACTACAAGCTAGGCACTGTACTAAATGTTTTATAAGCATTGTTTCATTCTTATAACTATTTTGGAAGGCAGACAGGGTTGTTATTTCTTCTTTATAGGAAAAAAAAGAACACAAAAAATGGAAGTACAGAAACTTTGTCCTTTACATATGGTCATGGAGCTAGTAGAGGGGATAGCTTGGACTTTAACTCAGAATGACTTTAGAATTTATGCCCTTAACTACTCTGCTAAATGGCCACTCTAGTTTTGGAATATTTTATAAGTTTGATTTAATTGGTAAATTTATTGTAAATGATAGTCCTCTCAAGGCATTGTTTAGTCAGTTAAATAAAAATTTTTGCTAGTTGGGTTGATCTAGTATTAGTTCATTAGATTGTTAAACTTTACCAGTCACATATTGCTGTGACTTGATTTTGACCCACAGTTTCCTTATTTAATCCAAAGATGTGTTTGTCATAATATTTGGGTTGTTAATTAATCATGAAGCCAACTTGTGGAGAAACTATTACCTATAAATGAGTTCCATTTCCCTCATTTTAGAGGATGTATTAATATATATTTACATGTACACTATACATACACATGCACAGTTAGAATTAGTGACGTACAAGGGGTGCTATACAGTATAAGTAGAGGAAGACTGAGTCTTCCTCTGTTTTATTCAATTTATTTTTTATAAGTTAAATTTGTATCACTGTCTAAATCAAGCCTTACTAATGTTAATGTTTAAATTATAACTAGATTCATGCTTTTCCCCACCATAAAATGGCTCTCTTTATCTAAAATTTTTTTCTGAAATATTTCCAACATATAGGAAATTTGAAAGAACTTTACAAGGGACAGTCATAACTCACCACTTTGATTTTCTTATTACCATTTTACTATACTTACTTCATCACATATATATCCATCTATCCCTCCTTCATCCATCTTGATTTTTGATGTATTGGTACATCTCTGCCTGTATACTTCAACAAGTATTTCATTAACTAGCATTCAATGTTTATTTAGTTTCTTTTATTTTAAAAAATTTTAATGGAGTATTGTTGATTTACAGTATTGTGTTAGTTATCAGTTCAGTTCAGGTGCTCAGTCATGTCCAACTCTTTGTTACCCCGTGGATTGCGGCACACTAGGCCTCCATGTCCATTACCAACTCCCAGAGCTTGCTCAAACTCATGTCCATCGAGTCAGTGATGCCATCCAACTAGCTCATCTCTGTCGTCCCCTTCTCCTACCCTCAATCTTTCCCAGCATCAGGGTCTTTTCCAATGAGTCAGTTCTTCTCATCAGGTGGTTGAAGTATTGGAGCTGGAGCTTCAGCTTCAGCATCAGTCCTTCCAATGAATATTCAGGACTGATTTCCTTTAGGATTGACTGGTTTGAATCAGTTATATGTATATGTATATTCACTGTTTTTTAGATTCTGTTCCTGTTAGGTCATTACAGAGTACTGAATGAAGTTCCCTGTGCTGTATTAGAGAGTTCTTATTAGTTTTCTGTTTTAGACATAGCAATGTGTATATGTCAGTCCCAGTCTCCCAGTTTATCCCCCCTCCCCACCTTGGTAACCATGTTTATTTTATACATCTGTGACTCTATTTTTGTTTTGTAAATAAGTTCATTTGTACCATTTTTTTTTTTTTTTTAAGATTCCACATTTAATGGTGAATTTCTAGAGTCCCAAGAACATTGTAACTCTGGTTTTGTAATTTCATGACTTTTACCGTTTAAATTTATAGATATGTTAGAAGTCTTGGGAAAATGCCTGGATCATTCAAGTTGGAAACTATTTACAAAACAGAGCACAAATATTTCTATGCTCTTGCTTACTGGAATTAAAGCAAGAAAGAAAGTGAAACTTGTGTCAGAACTGCCCGTGAACTATCCAATGCTATATAACTCTTTATTCACTGTCAGTGCAATTATGTCAGCAGTTTCATAATGGTGAAGAAAGTAGTTTATAGCTTTTAAAAAATATTTTTATTGAGTGTGACATAAATGCAATAAACTATACATTTCTTAGGTGTGCAGGTGTAGCTCAGTTAGATTTTATATTTATCTAACTCTCTAATCCAGATCCGTGTCCAGATCAAGATATGGAGTAGTTCCAGTTTATATCTGTTTTAATCTACATCACGGTTATTATTTCCAGCTTATTATATCTATTTTAATCTGCATCATGGTTATTACGAAGTTTGTGGGGTGTTTTCATTTTTTGTGGGTTTTACTTTGATACAGATATTAATCAGTGTACATTAGAAGACATTAAAATTACTTTGAAACAGTAGAAACAGCAAAACGTCAGAAGGAATCTTATTTTTAGGAGTATTTATTGGTAGGAGCCAGTCATTGCCATATTGTGCCCACAGACAAATCCGCTTTACTGATAGTAATGTGTTCTTTTCTGTAGTATGTAGGAGCAGCTCCAGTTCGCCTGCCATTAATCCTTCCCCACAGGGGTTACAAGATACCTTCTTATCTTATAAGGTCTTTTGATTAAACAAAAAATTTTTGCCAGAAAGTGTTTTGAAGGAGTTGATGAGTTTGTAAATGAAAACTAAGTTTGTAACTAAAAGTTTAGTTTCAAGGATACTGGTTGTTATAAATAACTGGCTGGCATTATTAAGCTGTTGGTAGTATTGGATCATTATTTCTTATTTTGCATTGGTATTCTCATTACAGTGAAAGCAACTTCTCTCCCAAGTTTAATGAAAAGGATGGGCAGGTTGAGAGAAAGAGCCAGAATGGCCTGTATGAGGTTGAAAATGGAAGACCTAGGTAGGTACTGGGGTGGGGCATCTTACAATAATGGGTCTTTAAAAGGTAGAAAATAATTGTCAATGAAAATTCACTTAACAATCAAGGTAAGAAGAAAAAAGCAAATTTTATATAAACCAAACTAAGAGTTACAGCTTGGAAGACAGACTCTCAGGAAGCTCTGAGAAATGTTCCACCTGTTAGAAGATACTGTTGTTGTTTAGTCGCTCAATTGTGGTGAACTCTTTTGTGACCTCAGAGCCCTCGAGGCTCCTCTGTCCTTAGGATTTCCCAAGCAAGAAGGGGGATCCTCTTGACCCAGGGATCGAACCCACATCTCCTTCATTAGCAGGTGGCTTCTTTACCACTGAGCCACCAGGGAAGACCTGTTAGAAGGTGTAGTCATACACATTTTCTAGACAAAGGATTGTACATCAAAATGGGGTAAGATACTGATATTTTACATAAGGTTCCCCAAAGATACCTAGTCCAGGTAAGCATGTACAAAGCAAGCAGTGAGTCACCATGACCCCTTGCAGAGTTGGGAAAGCATGCTGTTCTTTTAAGAAGTTACATTGCTAGTGTCAGAAGAAAGGGAAAATAATAATCTTTGTGGTCAAGAAAGCACTCTTTGAGGAGGTCTGATTAATGTGCAGATACATGCACATTAGGGATACTTGGAGAGGCCCAGATGGACCCAGAAAATTTTATTTCTAAATTTTTTTGCCCTGCCTTAAAATACACATTTTATTTTATCAATATAATTAACATTTACTGAGGGCTTGTATATGCCAGACCTTGTCTGAAAGAATTTATATATGTGATCTAGTTAAATCATAATAATAACCCTGTGGGTGGATATTTTTAGTTCTGTTTATAGATAAGTAGAGAAAATGCAAGTAGTTTGCATATGGTGAGTAAGTGCTGGAAGGAATTGAATGCATCTTCTTATAACTTTACCTTGAAATAGAAATAATAACAGTTGACTCTTGAACAAAATGGGGCTTATACATGGATTCTTTTTCAGTAGTAAATATTACAGCACTATTCCATCTGAGTTTGATTGAATACCTGAATGTGGAACCACAGATATAGGGGAACTGTGGGTACAGATGGTGGACTATAAGTTTATATGGAAGCATTGTTCAAGGGTCAACTGTAATTGAATAAATTAACAGAAGGAAAGGATTAAGAATTGTATTTCAGTGATTATTTATAAAATGAGGTAATACTGTTAAGAATTTATCCAAATATGTAAGAGTAAAAATAAAAACAACCTAACAATTTAATATTGCTTTTTTCTCTTGGCCATGTCGTGGCAAGTGGGTGGGATGTGGGAATCTTAGTTCACCAACTAGGGATCAAACCCGTGCCCAGTGGAAGCATGGAGTCTTAACCACTGGATCACCAGGAAATCCCTCTTTTTGTACTTTTAAAAGTGATTTTTCTACACAACTCAAAAATTTTCAGTTTTTCTTAAGTCATCATAAAAGGAAGAAATGTAAAAGTTAGCTTGCCTCCAATAAACCAGTAGAAAAATCACAGATTTGGTAATCATACTTAACACCTTGTAGAAACGTTGCAAAAGCTAAAAATATTTTTAGCTCTTCTAAAGCACGGAAATAGTAGTGCTCCTCTCACATCAACCTGGTCTTTCAGTTTTGCTAAATTCTTTCTTTGTTCATAGCTTACTCACTTTTCTGTGTTATTGAGTCTTTTCAAGTCAAACTTGCCTTTCATTGACTTACTCCTTAAGTTCTCTTCTGGGCAAAATATATTAGAAGATATATACACATATAAAGGACAGAAAAGGCAAAGGAAAGATAGCCTATTGTTTTAGTCAAGACTCTGACTAATGGAAACCAACTCTAGCTTGCCTGAGTAAAAAAGTGAACTTTACCCCAGGCCTATAGAATCATCTCAGGAATCCAAAGCAGAAATGCAGCTAACTTTAGGAAAGGGGTAGAGTTTGGAAATCCATTAGAACTGTCTTTCTGCCGTACGTCTGCTTTCCTTTATATGTTGCCTTTGTTTTGCTTTTTCTGCAAATAACTTTCTCTGTTGCTCAGGAAGTAGGGTAATCTATATGTCTTTTCTGCAGCTTCTAGTTTATCAGTTACAGGCTTGGTCATCTATAAAAACATAACATTCTCTCTCTTAATATTGGCTTTGATCATTTGTATTCAAAGGTGTATGGTTACATGGAATAAAACATAGTTACTGACCACCCTGCCCCTCCTCCTGAATTTGAAAAGTAGAATACTTGCAACCTGGCTAAGTGTCTTGCCTTTCTGTTTTTATTTGCAAGTCTTGCTGAAATATTTCTGAGTCCAGTATAAAACAATATAAAGATTGACTCAATTTTCATAACAGTCGCAATGAAGAGCAAAATAAAAGGAGTGGCTGGAACTTCCCGGGGGTGTAGTGGTTGAGAGCCCACCTGCCAGTGCGGGGAGCATGAGTTCGATCCCTGGTCCAGGAAGATCCCAGATGCTGTGGAGCAGCTCAGCCTGTGACCCACAACTTCGGAGCCCCTGTGTTGCAGCCCCTGGAGCTCCGGTACCTGGAGCCCGTGCTCCGCCGTAAGAGAAGCCACTGAAATGAGGAGCCTGAGCGCTGCAGAGGAGAGGGGCCCCTGCTTGCAGCACCTGGAGAAAGCCCTTGCGGCAACAAAGACCCAGTGCAACCATAAATAAAAAAACAGTTTAAAAACAAAAGCTGAAAGGGAAAATCTGACAAGTTGTTTATTTACTTTCACATACTGGGAGGGCCAAAGATATTAATAGATAAGATTGCAGATTGGGGCATTTCATTTTACATAATGAAAGTTAAACATGTAAGGAATATTGACTGGAAGAAAATCACTCAGGTGTGAGTGTGCCCTGTTTATCTGATAGACTTTTAAATATTGGGTTGTGGCATTAGGTTAAATAGTTATTGGCATTTTTATAAAATTGTTTTTAAAATTTGAATTTGGTATATTTGAAATCTTGAAATATTAAGTTTTTTTACTTCGTTATATGCTGTGTGCTGTGTGCTCCGTTGCTTTAGTCTTGTCCAATTCTGTGCAGCCTTTATGGACTCTGGCCCGCCAGGCTCCTCTGTCCATGGGATTCTCCAGACAAGCATACTAGAGTTGGGTTGCCATGCCCTTCTCTGGGGGATCTTCCCGACCCAAGGATGGAACCTGTGTCTCTTATGTCTGCCTTCATTAGCAGGCTGGTTCTTTACCACTGGCACCTCCTGGGAAACCCTCATATGCTACACAATATCTATTACTGATAATAAAAATCTAGAACCCACTGTGAAAAAAATGGACTTTAAAATGTAATCAAAACCATATGAGTGAGACCGGTTATAAGAGAGTGGAGTATGAAAAGAGGATGATGAGAAAGGGAAGAGAAGTGTGAAAATACTGGATAAAGTGTTGCTGTTGCAGAGTTAGGCTGTGATTAGGTGCAGAGCATTTCAGCCTTCCAGATTTAAAACAACTTTGGAAATGAGATACTCCTCCTGGATCAAGCCCAGACATGAAGAAAAGTTAAACAACACTGTAAAGAAATATGTACCTTGACTGTCAAATAATGTAGCAGAGCTACTGGATTTGTGTGGAGATCGTATTTCCCTCTTGGTACCTTGTTTTGGGCCATATCAAGTTTGGTTCAAAAAGATGAGTACATTCAGTTGGTTTTATGGTTTTTTGTTTTTTCCAGAAATCCTGCAGGACGGACTGGACTGGTTGGCCGGGGGCTTTTGGGGCGATGGGGCCCCAATCATGCTGCAGATCCCATCATAACCAGGTAAGAGCTAAAAACACATTTCAGTAACAAAGAGACAAGTAATTGGAAAAATACAGACACTAACCATATTTTTACATGTCCATCATATGCATATACATATGCAAATATATGTATGCATATGTATGTGTTTATATATCTAGTTATCCCCTGGTATTTTAGGGGCTTGGCTTTCGAAGAGGCCCCTGTGCCTCAAGCAGGTAGCAAAATCTATGGATGTTCAGGTTGCTTACATAAAATGGAACAGTACGGTTGACCCGTCTTATCCGTGGGTTCCGCATTTGTGGATACAAAGAGCTGGCTGCATGTGTGTGTGTTTCTGTCGGTATATACACAGGCATATGTATGCAACCTTGAAATTAAAAGATGCTTGCTCCTTGCAAGAAAAGCTATGACAAACCTGAACAGCATATTAAAAAGCAAAGACATTACTTTGCCAACAAAGGTTCGTCTAGTCAAAGCTATGGTTTTTCCAGTGGTCATGTGTGAATGTGACAGTTAGACTATAAAGAAAGCTGAGTGCCGAAGAATTGATGCTTTTGAACTGTGGTATTGGAGAAGACTCTTGAGAGTCCCTTGGACTGCAAGGAGATCCAACCAGGACATCCTAAAGGAAATCAGTCCTGGGTGTTCATTGAAAGGACTGATGTTGAAGCTGAAACTCCAGTACTTTGGCCACCTGATATGAAGAACAGACTCATTTGAAACGACCCTGATACTGGGAAAGATTGAGGGCAGGAGGAGAAGGGGACGACAGAGGATAAGATGGTTGGATGGCATCACCAACTCAATGGACATGAGTTTGGGTAGACTCTGGGAGTTGGTGATGGGCAGGGAGGCCTGGCGTGCTGTGGTTCATGGGGTCGCAAAGAGTCGGACACGACTGAGCGAGTGAACTGAACTGAACTGAGCTGGCTTTTCTTGCTTTTGGGTCTTGATCACCTCCAAACTAACTTCCAAACTTTTGTCAAAGTGAGTGAGTTTTCTAAAATACAAATTGCTAACAGCTTTTAACCTGCTTTAAAACATTCTCTGGCTCTCTAAGCAGGTAAATTTGAGGAATTCTTTGCCTACTTCTTCAACCTCATCATCCATCTTTCCCTCACTGATGTTCATACTGCTGTGTATACATTCAGTTTCTTGAATACATTATTTTATTTTTATATCTTTGTTTCCTCCCTCTGCATCCTTAAAATCAGATTTGTCTTATACTAATTGTTCTTTCATTTCTAGCTAGCTGTACTCATCAAGCTGTCAGTCTTACAGTTTATTCACCTACATGTATAGCTCCACTCCTAGGCTGTGAACTCTTTTAGGGGGAATTATGGGTTAGATGGGGCTTCCCTGATAGCTCAGTTGGTGAAGAATCCACCTGCAATGTGGGAGACCTGGGTTCGATTCCTGAGTTGGGAAGATCCCCTGGAGAAGGGATAGGCTGCCCACTCCAGTATTCTTGGGCTTCCCTTGTGGCTCAGCTGGTAAAGAATCCACTTGTAATGCGGGAGACCTGGGTTTGATCCCTGGGTTGGGAAGATCCCCTGGAGAAGTGAAAGGCTACCCACTGCAGTATTGTGGCCTGGAGAATTCCATGGACTGTATAGTCCATGGGGTCATAAAGAGTTGGACGTGACTGAGTGATTTTCGCTTTCACTGGTTAGATGTGTTCAGCCACATTATAATGAAACTTGGACACTCATATCTAAGCTGGTATATTTTAGTCTCATGCAGAGTGAAGATTAGATTTTAGACTTTCTGTTTTGGTTTTGTACTGCAAGTTCAAAATCTTTATCTTTGCCTAAGGGACTATTAGAACTAATCTTAACATTTGCCAGGGAAGGTAGATGTGATGTAGGGGAGGGGAAAGGGAGATTTATCAACATCTTTGGGAAGGAGGCTCTGATTACAAAAAGCACATTTTGAAATTAACATTACCTTGATGTTTTAAAAATATGCAATTTGAAATATAAAATTAAAGGATAAAGTGAGATTTCTTTTATCAAAAAAGGGGATAAAGATTGAGAAGCTTTTTTTTTTTTTTGAGACCAACTGAACCTGTATCACATAATCTTTTCTGAAAACAGGGTGAACTGTTAAAAGTAATTATTGCAGATCTTTTTTACTACTTATATTAATAATTCTTTTTTTTTTTTTNTTTTCTTAACTTTGAATAAATACAATGAAATGTGAAGTAAGACAATGGAAACAAACAGAGCAAAAATCCAAGAACTATTAAGGTGTGTAATATTTCATCTTTAATGCCTTCAAAAGATAATGAGCAGTACAATACTGACCTTTATTTTTATAGCCCTTAATTTTAAATTTTATATATTTTATAAAATGAATAATAATAATATAATCTTTAAGTTAAAAAACCATATTGTTTATTCAAAGAATTTTATGTCATTAAATCATCAGTATATTAGCATTTTAGTAATGAAATGACAGGAAAGAACACCTACAAGTTAAAATATTCCATGTGACTATACTAATGACTCACAGAAGAATTCAGGGAAGGTGGGTTATAAAGAAAGTTTGTGCCAAAATGATAAAACAGCAGGGCTCAAGGGATGCAAGGAAGTAGGGTACTTGAGAAAATAAAATTTGTAAGAAGGGTTCTCAAACCTGACTAATCATTAGAATAATCTGGACATCTACTGAGGAAAAAAAGATGTTGAAGCTCAAAAATTTAAGACCTAATGACCCAGAGTATTGGGAGATGGACCCAAATCTTACAGTTTCTGAAACTTTCCCCATGCGATTCTGATAGCCAGGAAGATTCTGGAACCACTGCTTTAGAATGCTGACTTAGGTGTGCTTATTCAACAGTATGATCTATTTGCTTTAAGGACAATTACGATGCTATAGACGATAAATGATGAAATTATTCTTCTTACCTTGGATACATTGCTGACATAATTCATTTGGATAGTAGTTTCCTTATCAACTTGATTACAAAGGTTCTGTAAAGTAGATGCATATTCTTTATCACTTTTTATCCTCAGGGCCATGAATTTCTTCACTGTCTCCAGTAACCGTAACTCCCAGTCTTACAATTTTAACACAGCTTCGTGTGAGTTCTTCAGGTCACTCCCAAACCCCATGTTTGTAAGGCACCGTCTTATCCTCCACACTGCGCAACTGAGCCTTCTAGTCAGCACATATCTAGAACCTGACAAGCGGGAGCCCCTCGGACTCGGGAGCCCGTAGCCACCCCGCGTCACGGGGGCTGCCCCAGCCAATGGGGGCCCAATAATTCTTAAAAAGGATCCTTGAATAAAAAAATAAGAAACTCTCAATGACCCTTCCTTTAAATTCTGTTCTGCTTTAAAATCTTTTTGATAAATTTTACTTTAGTAAAAACTATATCTCGAATTTTTATTATGGAGACTATAATATACTTTATGGAAAGTGGACATTTGTCTTGGTTTGTAACAGTGCTAAATAATATTTTTAATGCGAAACAATATTCTTTATAAAACTAGCTGATTTGGGGTAAACTTATACACACTCTGTTATAAAGAAAAATACATCTTTATATTTTTGTCTTAAGCTTGATATAGGCCCTTGATCTTTGTTCTGAATCACTTATGATCTTACATTACTGTTTACAGGTGGAAAAGGGATAGAAGTGGAAATAAAATCACCCATCCCACTTCTGGGAAAAACATCTTACAGTTTGTTGCAATAAAAAGGAAAGACTGTGGAGAATGGGCAATCCCAGGGGTAAGCATTAAAATAAAGTCAGATCAATGTTTTAAGTTCTTTTTAGTTGCTTTACTTACATAACGCAAGGCTACTGCATATGGCTCTTTTCTCCTCCCGTCAGTCTCTTTCCTCCCTACTTCAGTTAGTAATTCCTTTGCAGTGAAGTATCATTGTCAGTGACAAACATAGAATAATACAACAGAGCTGTTAGAATCTGAGTCTTAATTCTAAAACCCTTGAGAGAGAACATGGACTTTGATGTTAGACCTGGGCTTGTGTTTTAGCCTTTCCAGTTGGAGCTGAGTGCTGTGGAGTTCAGACCTTTGTTCTAGAAATAATTATATCTATTTCATAGGATTATTAGAGAGTGCATTTAAAGCACCTGGCATTGTAGATACTCAATAATGCTGAATCTTGTCTTAGAACCCATCCCCTACTCTAAGACCAAGGTAACATTTTCAGTATTTAAAAAAAAGATAACACATCACTTACTGTTCCTTATAGTTTTTTAAGTTTGTATAATATCATCAGGAAGAGTATACTTTTATTGAGTTCACATCAGTAGTATTTCAGGTGACTTTAAAAAAATGTCTATGTGTTCAAGAGCGGGTTTTATGTTTTATGCCATATTGTGAAATGGAGATAGTTTGATAAGAGTATGACTCGTCATATACACATTCTGCTATCTGCAAGAATGGTTTCTTTCTTTGTAGGGTAAAATGGAAAGAAAATGAAGGTTGTAACTGACTGTAATAAAAGCTTAGGCTAATTATTACGAGCCAAGTAAACTTTACTCATGCTGAATGTAAAATAGAATGATATCATCATCATAGGATCTTCCATTTTTATTGTCATTTGAAATTCTGATCAGTCAGGGAACTGTTGTCATTGAATATAATTTTGAGAGTCGTTCATCTCAGTGTATTTTGATCATCCACCTTTTGTCAACTAATATTTTAGAAATCGAGGATACAGCAGAGCTATATGAACAAGCATCCCTCTCTTCTTGGTGCTCACACTCCAATGAGGGAGACCATACAAGATAAATGAGTTATTGTATGTTCGAAGGTGATAAGTACTAAGAAAACTAAAGCAAGGAAGGGGACTAGGAAGTGTTGGGAGAGCTTGCAGTTTTAGATAGAGGGTGGTTATAGAAGATCTCTTGAGAGAAGGTGACATCTAAGTGAAGATCTGGAGGAGGTGAACAAGTGACCCATGTGGATATCTGGGGAAAGCGTCTTTAGGTAGAAGTAATAGCAGTTGCAAAGGCCTAAAGGTTGGGATATGCCTGGCACATCCTAGGAACGTTGAGGAGGTCACTGTGACTGTAATGGAATGACCAGTGGGGAAAGTACTAGTCTGTTGTATTCTTTCTTGCCTCCAGCCCTTCCTTCTGTAGCTTGACTTTGGAAAATACCAGGAACGGAGTCTGACAGGCTCAGTTATCATAGGCTAACCTTGGACCATTTACGGTGGTTGAGTATATATATGGTTGATACCCTGCTAAGCTGCTTCTACTAGAAACAAATGATTTAGAGAAGAACATATTACAGAAGATTATGGGCAGATAGAGCAACATATCCCTGGAGAAGGAAATGGCAGCCCACTCTGGTGTTCTTTCTTGCCTGGGAAATCCCGTGGACAGAGGAGCCTGGCTGCAAAACATTGGGTTGCAAGAGTCAGACATGACTGAGCGCCTAAACCGACACCACCACAGAGCAGTGTGTGTCCACTGGATCAGTCAGTAAATACTTATTGGTTGAATTAAAGCTTTTTCCTTTTTTTTTAAACAAAAATGTGACTCTCAGGGGATGGTGGATCCAGGAGAGAAGATTAGCGCCACGCTGAAAAGAGAGTTTGGTGAGGAAGCACTCAACTCCTTACAGAAATCCAGTGCTGAGAAGAGGGAGCTGCAGGACAAGCTGCACAGGCTCTTCAGCCAGGAACATCTGGTGGTAAGAAATGATTTCTAAGAAGGGTTTAGTCCTGGGGATTAATGAAAATTACTTAAAGCTCACCTGGAAATCTGGTAGAATATTCTCTGAATAAAGTGAAATTGTAGCTCTTCTCTGTGAATAGATTCCTACTTAAATTATTATAGCCCAACTTTACATCATTTATTATAATACGTTTTTTTCTCATGGTTTTTCATTAGACTCAGTGTGAGCTAATGTGATACTGAGTTCACCCATCTAACAGTAAATCTTTTCTGTTTTTAAAAAATTTGCAAGAATTCAGCTGTTTTGAAAGGACATTTATATTTTAACTTATGTTATGCAGAGCTTTTCTCATTCATAACAGTTTAAGTCTCATGTCTGTTTTGCTTATGTATCCTTTGTGATTTAAAAAAATCACTATAAGGTATATGTGCACTAGTAATAAGAATAATGGATTTTATTTTTTGTGCTGTTGGCTTTTGTTTGATGGGCTTTGTTTTCTTCCTAGAATTAGGATTTCTTAGTTGTTTATATTGTCTGGATTTTGGGTCACATTTATGTTAGATGGCTGGATCCAAGTCTTTTCATGTATCAAGAGCTTAAATATTAGTCTTTACTAACCTTGTTTATAGATCTTTGTTTAACTAGAAGAATCTATCTTTGTATGTCTAAAACTGTAATCATGGGAATTATTTTTAAATTGGCGCATAATTGTTTTACAGCGTCAGTTTCTGCTGTCCAGCGGCATGAATCAGCTCTACGTATACATATATCCCCTCCTTGAGTCTCCCTCTCACACCCCCCGCAGAAATTATTAAAACAGAAAAATATTTACATGAAGAGTCTTAAAAAAAATCATATGGCCCAAATATGATTATTTTCACATTCTGAAATTAGAATCTGAGGTGCTGAGGGTTTTGTGAATGTTAGAGCTACCTCAGAATGTTCTTGAGGATATTGTTTCCTGGGAAATTTATGTATTTAAAAAAATATCTTGTTCATTTGATGCTATTATAAATGGAATCACTTTACTTTCTTAATTTCATTTTCACATTGACTTTTTTTGACCACTTTTTCTTTTTGAGGAATCTTAGTTCCCCGACTAGGGGTTGAACCTGGGCCCTGGTGAAGGCACCAAGTCCTAACCACTGGACCACCAGGGAATTCCCTCCCTGGGACATTTAGAACAAGCATATGGAATGTTACATTAAAGGTTCTGTAATATTTACATTTCTTTTGTGTGTGTGTGTGATAAAAAGCACATAGCATATAATATGCCCACTTAACCATTTTTTAAGTGTACAATTAATTAATGTTAATTAAATGTGCATTGTTTTGCAATGGATATTTCTGATTCTGAAGAAGGCAGCATGCTCTGTGACCATCTCCTTTTCACCCTAAACTTTTTTTTCATCTGTCTCCTTTTAAAAAATAGATATATAAAGGTTATGTTGATGATCCTCGAAACACTGATAATGCATGGATGGAGACAGAAGCTGTGAATTACCATGATGAAACAGGTAATTTTACTAATGTTTATTAAACTAACTGAATTAGTGGATCAATTTGTCAAGCAGCCTACTAGGACACAATTAAATCTGGACTATTTCAGTATTTTAAGTCAATCATCTAGTGATTATAGAAGTATATTTGTATGAAATCAGATTGTTGATATTAAAATAATATGTTAAAAAAATGAAAGAATATGTAGAAGAAAGCTTTAAAAGTGTTACCAGTAATCAATCTCCTTTAATCCATTGGTAGCATATAAAATTAAGGTTAAAATTATAAACTAATCATGTGCCTTAAAGTTGTCAAATTGTTTGAGTCCATTTGTATAAAACAAAAGCAAAAACAACTCGAGATTTTGGTAGGAAGTATGGGTATAATAAAGGAAATGGGATTTATGTCTGTCTTAATGTTTGAAATAATTTTATAATAATCATGTACTCTTAAAATGCAAAATAATACCAAAAAATTGCAACTATTGAGCAAACTTCAAATGGATGATTTTTTTCTGGTCAATGGATTTAAAAAATTTAGCAGGTGGGTGAAAATCTTTTATTATAAAAAGAAAGGGGGAATCTGCTATTTAGAAAATTAATTACAATTTTAATATATATGGAGTGGCTTCTCTTGAAACATTTTACTGCTAAATTGGATGACCTTTTACATACTTTGTTTTCATCTGTAGCATAATGAAGTGGTACCATATCAGAGAACTAATTGTTCCATTCATGGTTCCTTTCTGAGCTGTATTGTTGATGGAAAAATGGGGGGAGAGAGACTGGTCATGTCTAAGGTCTCAGGCAAGTCCTTGGGATGGACTGCCAAGTGAGAGTCCTTGGCTTCATGCAGGAAGGAATTCAAGAGCGAGCTGAAGCAGAGTGAACATAGATTTATTCAGGGAGGTACACACTCCAAAGACAGAGTGTGGGCTGTCTCAGAAAGCAAGAGACTCTGAAATATGGGGTGTTTGGTTTTTATGGGCTGGATAATTTCATAGGCTAATGAGTGGGAGAATTATTCCAGCTATTTTGGGAAAGGGGGAGGGGATTTCCAGGGATTGGCTTACGCTCACTTTTTGACCTTTTATGGTTAGCCTCAGAACTGTCCTGACTCCTGTGGGTGTGTCATTTAGGATATGCTGATGTATTATAATGAACATACAATGAGGCTCAAGATCTAGTCTGCCATCTTGGACCTAGTTGGGTTTAACGAGCTTATATTGTGTCCTCAATGGCTGTATCATTCGTTTAAAGGTTGTGCCTTACCCTGTTCCTGTCTCAGTATAACCTTGTGCAAATCACATGTTCTCTTGGACTCAGTTTTTTCCTTAAAAGATGGGCTGCAACTAGAAGATTTGTCACTTTTACATTCTTGCTGAACTTGGGGGAACTCCCAGCACAAATTTCATTACTTCTCTACAACAACTCTAGCCAAAGTATTAGAACAATTCATTTTGGTATTAAGAACTTAAATATTTCAGAGGGAAAAATAATGCATATGCAATTTAGAAGCAGGTCTCTGCAACTTAAGTAGTGATACATTTGTTAGCTATTTATTTTTGAAGTTAAAAAACAATGACTGATCCTCTAGTGGTTGATTATATAGTGTCTGAGTTGTTCAAATCACTGTTTTCACTGTTTCATTCTTTATCTAAACTTAAAAAAATGAAGGAAATGGCAACCCACTCCAGTGTTCTTGCCTGGAGAATCCCAGGGATGGTGGAGCCTGGTGGGCTGCCGTCTATGGGGTCGCACAGAGTCGAGTCGGACACGACTGAAGTGACTTAATAGCAGCAGCAGAGACTACTTAAATAAGGTCTGCGCCATGCAGTTCTTTCAGTTAATGCTCTCTTGTTATTTTATGGACTCTATTGCTGTGGTGGTAAGTTGGGAGTGATGCTAAAAGTTCAGCTTCTCTGAGCTGGTGCCAGATCGAATCTTGGAGACAGAGTTTTGGGTGAAGTAGAAAAGTGTAGCTTTATTCCTTTGCCAAGCAAAGGGGGTCATAGCAGGCTCCTGTGCAGATCCAAGAAGAGTTGTTGATTTTCAGTTTGTTTGTATTTTTTTGGTGTGAAGATGGGAGTGATGATTTGTAAGTGGAAACAATTTTAAAGCAGCAATTATTTCATTTCCCAAAGATAATGACTATTAACATTTTGATTTATTTTCTTCCAGATTTTGTATGGATGTTTTTAAAATAAAAATGTGCTAACACTCTACATTCTTTTTTGTTAGCTACAATTTCACTTAATATATTAATATATTATGGACATATTTCCATGTCAGTATGTGGAGAGCTGCTTCATTTTTAATGACCGTATGGGAGTCCAGTGGACGCTTATCACTTATTTAATCTGTGCCCTCTCAATGGAAAGTTTGGTTATGTCCTCTTTTTCCTCTTTGTTTATAAATAGTGTTGTCTTGAATACTTCAATAAGCTTGTCTTTTCATTTCCTTAGGGTAATCCTTTGAAGTGAAATTATTCGGTTGTTTATGGTCTCCCTAGTGCGTCTTACAGATGGTGCATAAGAGGCAATCTGGCATTTGTTGTATGAAAGTGAAGTCGCTCAGTCGTGTCCGATCCTTTGAGACCCCATGGACTGTAGCCTACCAGGGCTCCTCCATCGATGGGATTTTCCAGGCAAGAATATTGGAGTGGGTTGCCATTTCCTCCTCCAGGAGATCTTCCTGACCCAGGGATTGAACCCAGGTCTCCCGCATTGTAGGCAGACGCTTTACTGTCTGAGCCACCAGGGGAGCCCACTTGCTTATTAAAAGCTCTTGAGAAATACTGCCAAGCTGTCCTACAGAAATGTGCTGTTTAGATCGCTAGTTGTGATTGAAAACATTTATTTTTAATTTTTGATAATTATAAATATTTTAATAAATATTTATATGGTTTCTGATTTGGTGTGATACTTGGAAAAGTGTACCCACCTTATGACTCTTAAAGTGAGTCATTTATAATTGTTTTCTTTCTTTTTTTAATGTTTAATCTCTCTGGAATTTTCACGTGAGGTTTCATGTTTATTTAATGTTAACTCTTTTTTTTTTTTTTAAAGAGTAATATTTTTACTTTTTAAAGTGAAAAGCTGGACTTCCCTGGTCGTCCAGTGGTTAAGAATCTGCCTGTCAATATAGGGGACATGGGTTCAGTCCCTGGTCTGGGAAGATCCCACATGCTGGGGAGCAGCTAAGCCCACATGCCGCAACAAGAACAGCCACCTCAATGAGAAGCCCATGCTCAGTGACGAAGAGTAGCCCCTGCTTGTCGCAGCTAGAGAAAACCAGCTCAGAGCAACGAAGACCTAAGTGCAGCCATAAATTGTTGTTCAGCCACTCAGTCGTGTCTGACTCCTAGTGACCCCATGGACTGCAGCATAAATACATGGACTGCAGCCATAAATACATAACTAAATAGATAAGAGTGGTATTGGAAAAGACTCTTGAGAGTCCCTGGGACTGCAAGGAGATCTAACCAGTCAAAATCCTAAAGGAGATCAGCCCTGAATATTCACTGGAAGGACTGATGCTGAAGCTGAAGCCCCAATACTTTGGCCACTTGATGCAAAGAACTGACTCATTGGAAAAGACCCTGATGCTGGGAAAGATTGAAGGCAGGAGGAGAAGGGGACGACAGAGGACAAGATGGTTGGATGGAGTTGCTGATTCAATGGACATGAGTTTGAGCAAGCTCCGGGACATGGTGAAGGACAGGGAAGCCTGGCGTGCTGCATTCCATGGGGTCGTAAAGAGTTGAACATGACTGAGTGATTGAGCTGAACTGAGAAAGAGCAAGAGAGAGAGAAAAGCTTTGGTTTTTTTTTGGCTGCACCCTGTGGCATGTGGGATCCTAGTTCCCTGACCAGAGACTGAGCCCACACCTTCTGCATTGGAAGTGCAGATTCTTCACCACTGGACCTCTAGGCAAGTCTGAGAAAAGCTTTCTTATTGGTACCTTTACTTGAAATTTAGAAACTTGGTTAAAATTTGGGCATTTGGGAAATTTGGAATATTCTCATTTTTAATTCAGTCTGCCACTTAATATAATGATGATTTAAGATTATTTTGAGTAAGAATACTTGAAGGTACAGGATTATGCAGAAACAGAAGTGACTAAATAAATTGCATTTTCTTGATGATGTATTTTCTTTGGTAACCAGGTGAAATAATGGATAACCTTACCTTAGAAGCTGGAGATGATGCTGGAAAGGTGAAATGGATGGACATCAGCGATAAACTCAAGCTTTATGCTAGTCACACTCAGTTCATCAAGCTTGTGGCGGAGAAACGAGGTGCACACTGGAGTGAGGACTCTGAGACTGGCTGCCCTGGCTAATAGCTCACAGTCTCCATGTAAGCCAAAAGCCAGGAATGGAGCATGTATGGAGAAGAAGACAGTATCAGAACTCATATATAAAAAGGGCAGGGCAGGGCACTTGGAAATTACTTTATTCATTAAATGACAGGCAGTTAGGTTTTGCATCAGAATAAAATTAGCAGGTGTGATGAAACAACACAGAATTTTCTGCTCTTCTGTCAAAAACGCTGTAAACAATCATTTTGTATGTGTTCTACTTAAGCATGGCTTAAACCAGATTGAAACGACTGATGCTCTTTGAAGAATCAGAATTTGAACAAAGATAAATTTATATAAATTTCTGTTCAGCCGTAACTTCTGCTTTCTGTGTAATTCTTGTTTGTCAGTTTTGTTTTTCCCCATTGACTTTTGAGGTATGAAGGATATTCCTACCATATCAAGCATCTCTCAGAGGAATGCCGATCTCCATTGTCTAATCTGATTTATCTTTAAATTACTTGGTTCACGCTTTGCTTTATATGATCTTGTTGAAGCTGGTTTCAAAAACGGAAACCTTTTGTATTTTTGACTTTAGAGTTGTAAGTTATATGAGGAAATTTGAGTCACTCTTTTAGTCGAAAAATATCAAGATCAATGAACAAGAGATCATGTCCTCATTTCCAAAAATTCTGAATTACAAAAATGTGTCCAGAAAACTAGTAATTTAAATTTATATACGCATTCCACTCTACCGTAACTGTGGGAAAGGCTACCCACTCTAGTATTCTGGCCTACAGAATTCCATGGACTGTATAGTCCGTGGGGTCGCAGAAGAGTTGGACATGACTGAGCGACTTTCACTTTCACTACTGTAACTGTATGTACCATAAATGAATTAAAAATGATGTTCAGAAAGGAAGTGAAATGAAATGGAGACAGAGGAGGTCTTTGGGAGTTAAAAGTGTCTTGTTAGGAAGGGATTGTTAAGTACTGACTTAAGTTTTTGAGGCTCACTGTTAACATTGTCATTCCTTGAGGAAAGGAAAGAGTTTGTGTTCCAGGTATTCTTGGAAGCAGGAAAGAGGAAGGAAAACAACACTGCCTTGTCTCAGTGGACATTTATATCACTTTCTGGCCTATATAGCCATTGGGAAAGTCCCATAGTGCTAACACTTATCAACCTGAGGTAGGGACTGTCATAATTCCATCCTCATTCCTGTTGGACTGTAGATGGGTCATCTGAAGAAAAGGTGGTTTAGGGAATAGAGGCATGGTTGTTTTCTTCAGATGTTTGAAAAAGGTATTAGGCTTACGCTGTAATTAGAGAACAAAAATGAGGGCTAAGATAAATTAATAAAAAAAGGCTTCTGTTCCCCCCCCCTCCCTTATTTAGTGTCAGAACTCTTGGTGGTAAACTTGAACCAAACTGACAGGAGGCTTTTTTCCCTCTGTTTTGCTGAGAAACATTAGAATGTTTGATTTCAGGTTGTTGCCTCAAACCCCTCTGAAAGAGTTATAAGGTTTATGTTCAGTATTAGTTTTCTAAAATCCATAAAATCATGGTCCTTGGGTGTGTAATATGGGACTTGTGCTTGACAAGGATGGTCTGCTCACTGAGTGAAGGGTAGGACAACCTTGACCCAGTGTGAAAGAATTTGATTCTACTTTCACTGTTTGACAGGAAGAAGTTGCCTCTTACTGACACTGAATAGGATTTTCTAGAACAAGCTGCTCACAAAAGCTCTTGAAAAAGCTTGAGTACTTGCCTGAAGAATGACATTTACTTATGTTTTAATAGTTTTCATGCATCTAAACTGACATTAGTAAAGATTTTAGGTTTATTAAAAATTATCTTTAAAGAATAACTAAAGCACATGATCCATAGATAATAAATTTTTTGTTGCATTTTATAGTTTTCATTGGAACATTTACAAACTATGCAAAGTGATAAAACTGCTATACACGGTAGATAGGGTAGAAGTAGATAATCTCATTGTAAGTATCCAGCACCATCTATAATAGAGAAAAAACAGATTAAAATTTTAGTTTAAGACATTTCTGGAGGAATATCTGCTCCTATAATAGGTGATATTGCCTTCACATTTGCTTTTCTTATATTTTACATATAAGGAACATTTTTGTTTTTTAGAGACACTTAGTAAAATAAATAGTGTGGATACCATTTCTTGAATATCTATATTATATCTCTCAATCCTGACAAGAATCCTGTGAAGTTAGGTGGTTATTATTTCCACTTCACAGAAATTTAGAGGGGTTGCTCCAAGGTTTATTCAGTAAGCAACAGAGCTGGGTTTTGCTAGGTCCCAGAAACAATTCTCTGTCTTTTGTATTCCATACTAAGGTTACGAAGTTTTTATTATTTCTTACTTTAAGTTTGTAGTTTGGTAGATTCTTTATTACTTAAGCAATACTCATGTTATCCATAGTACATCTATGGCTTGTTACTTGAAATTCAAGGGCCACATCTGATTTGCCTAGTGTTACTGAACTTGTTGGCATAATCATGGCCCAGAGACAATTTGATAATATCTTAACCTATGGATGAGTGGTTGCACCCAGTGTTTGTCTTGGTAGCAGGTGTTCTTAAGACTTTAAAGCATTTCAAACTCAAATAGAAACAAGATACTAAATCTGCTAAAGAGGGCACCTAAAATTTCTAACCATTTTCAGAGGCTAAATGCTACTCTGTCTTACAGTATAAGGACTTATGGTGGTTGCTGTTATTTTCCAAAATATTTGTGAAGTTTTAATAAATATATTGATTTTAAAGTACATCATTTGAAGAAGCACTTGTAATTTATTTGGTCTTGTTTACATCTACTTTAATCATATTATTAACATCAGTATGGGCACAATCTGAGGCTATTAAACTCTTAGGATAAAAGTATTTAAAATGTATAATAATGCTTAAAAGATACTTGGAGGGATTTCCTTGGTGGTCCAGTGGCTAAAACTCCATGCTCACAACACAGGGGGCCTGGGTTTGATCCCTGGTCGGGAAACTAGATTCCAGATGCTGCAATCAAGAGTTCACATGCTGCAACTAAAAAAGCACCCTGCAAGCCACAATGAAGACTAAAGTTTCAAAGTGCCAGCCACAACTAAGACCTGACGCAGCTAAATAAATAATTAAAAAAAAAGATATTTGGAGATTTTACTCACCGTATAACTTCTGACCTAGTAGTAAGAGAATTATTTCTGCCAAAATAAACAATATAGATTATAATTACTAGGTATTTTTGCCATCATTTTTTTCTTGCTTCATTTTTTTCTTGCTTCCTCCCATGTCTCCCATATTATGTTTATTTAACATTGATGGACTGTATTGGTACAGTCATGTGTGTTGGGAGATAGAAAATAATGTGGTTCTTTTATACCTAAATGCTGATAAATCGGACCATTAAGTGTCTTTTCTGCAACACAGAGCTTAATTCCTCTCACTTCACCCTTAGTGGCCTGATAAGATCATTTGAAGTGGTAAGAAACACAGAGTAAGTACTTTGGGGCAATGAAGCTTTGTCAGAAGGAAATCTTGGGTGAAATCCAGTTTCTTTCTCAAAATTCATATTGAGAATATTTTGATTCATCAGTTTCTCTTGAGATAAGTTAAAATAAATACATACTGTATATAATTTTCAGTTAGTCAGTTCAGTTGCTCAGTTGTGTCCGACTCTGCAGACCCATGGACTGCAGCACGCCAGGCCTCCCTGTCCATCACCAACTCCTGAAGTTTACTCAAACTCATGTCCATCGAGTTGGTGATGGCATCCAACTATCTCATCCTCTGTCATCCCCTTCTCCTCCTGCCCCCAATCCCTTCCAGCATCAGGGTCTTTTCCAATGAGTCAGTTCTTTGCAACAGGTAGCCAAAGTATTGGAGTTTCAGCTTCAACATCAGTCCTTCCAATGAATATTCAGGACTGATCTCCTTTAGGATGGACTGGTTGGATCTCTTTGTTATCTAAGAGAATCTCAAGAGTCTTCTCCAACACCACTGTTCAAAAGCATCAATTTTAATTTTTATTTGACATGAATTCAGATATTTAAAAGGAATATACCTTTTTGGTCTCTTTCTCTCTTTTATATATATTTTAAATGAAAGCAAACTTGGCTGAGAATCAGAGTAGAAGTCTCAAGGTTTGTAGAGTTTCCATCAAGAGTGCTGAGGCTTTTGTGTTAAGGACATTTGTTGCCTTGCCTGGAGATGAGAACATTTCTAGATTTGGTAGTTTCAGAGCGGGCTTTTCTCACTGTTAACTATGATTTGTCCGTAAGACAAAAATAAGCTTGAGGTAAAATTTACTGTTTGAAATTTCTTAACGTAATTTCTGTAAGCTGAAATTTTGTCAAATGCTATGGGCATTATGAAAAGAATACCTTTTTAGACCTGCTGAAATTCTGATCTAAAGATCTTGGAGGAAAATGAGCTTATAACTCATGAGCTTTACCTTAGGTAGATTGCTTGGGTTTCATTCTGCCATAGATTTTTATGGTTCAGAAGAATTTTTCTTACCTTTGTGGAGATTAAATATCACTTGCTTTTATCAGTATAACCATAGCAAAAAAGTCTTACCCAAAGAAGCCCTAAAAAAAAAATTATTCAGATAGCTTCAGCCCATTAAGTAGGTTTGTAGTTTATGGTAGCTTAAAAATGCTTACTTACCCCAAGTTGGTTCAAGATAGAAATGATTAACTGTGAAAGAAAAAGTACCAAGGATCAGTGAAAACAATGGGTTTACCTTTTAGCTTGTTTTTAACTTAGTATGTATGTAAGCTAAAATATTTTCTATATGAAAATCTTTGTTTTTGCTGAAAAATTAAGTCCATTTTGCTGCTTATGTTTTATTTATGTGATGTAAGATTTTAAAATGAATATGCAATATTTAGATTTGAACTCCCTTAGTTCATAGAACTGTTTTTTTGTAACTGCCTTGTAACGGTATTCACTATATCTGAAATACAGAAAATTGATGTGAATGGTTGAGAAACTGGCTGTATACACTTACATACAAGTGCTATCTTTCTTAAATTATGTGTGAATTCCCTGTGTGAATGATACTTGAACCAGAATTTTAGGACAGCTATGATTTTGCTTCAAGGGTTTGCTCATGCGAGCAGTTTCACTGGTTAAGTATTGCTTTGTAGCTTTCATGTAATCCTGTTTTAAGAGACTGGCAGCTTGCTTGAGGAATTGACCACTGTGTCAAAAAGGCAAAGGCCTCTATTTATTGTGCTGTCCATCCCAACATATATGCAAGATTGTGTAAGCTGAACACTGATCTGCTTATTCCTAGGCAAGGACAATGCCCTTAAATAAAGTTCAGAAAAATAAAGTATAGGTATTGCCAAATCAGATTTGGTAACTTTTGAGTAAGTCGTATGTGTGAGGAGTCAGTATTTTCACTGGAAGAGATTTTGGAGGTAAATCAATACATCTCCTCAAGGTCACACTGCTAATTTAAAGATGAGCTTAGAATCTAGACTTACCCACCACAGGCCAATGCTCTTTTAGCCATGTTTTGACGTGAAGGTGAACTCGCCAATTTTGGAATCATCAATAATTAATTATTGACAGTAGTTTCCCCAAACATTTTTAGAATATGTATTCCTATATATATGTATACATATAAATTCTAACATGATTAGGAGTATGCTAGAATTTTTATGATTTACATTTGGAAACGGACTGTCATAATGCTTAGAGTGGATTGTAGAAAGAGCACTAATTAAAACTTGACTTCCGCTCTTATTTAGTTTGACCTTAAAGTTTTTGGAACACTTAAATATTCCTCAAGATGATTGCCTTTAAATAATCTGTATAGACAAATCCTGAAAAGTTTTACCGCAGGCACACAATGATTAGGCCTAACTTTCTGCCATTTTTATGAAATACTGCAGGTCTCTAATTCTAAGATGCCATCAACTATAAAGTATACCATTTAGTTAATGATGCATCTTAAAGAAAAAGATATCCCAGGTTAAATACATCCATTGTGAGATGTGTCTAGATTTCAGAAAATGTTTGTGTGCAAAGTATGTGGGAAATGAAATTTTTTAGTTTTCTCTTTTTCAACTCCCAAGTGTTTTACCTGTGTTTTCATAAACTGAGATTCAAAATAATTATGTCAATAAAGGGCCTCATTAAAAAGTTGAACTTTGTGCCGTTCTGTAAAAAATTATCTACTGGGATTTAGGTTTTATTATAATATATTATGCATTTATGCAAATGATTCATTAGTGAAGAAATAGTCAAGTCTATTTCATCTCTCCTAAAGTAGTTTCTTCTATATCTCTTAAATTTTTTGACTCTTCACCTTCATCCTCATCAATGATAGAACAGGTTATTTTGTCAGTTTATAGTTTGGAGGCGATGAATAAGTGAATGTAGAACTATTTGCATGCATTGAGATAGCTTTCTGGCTTTGAACTTAACAACTGTGCTTTATTTCATTTCCAAATGAACTGGATTAATAAAGACAGTAATTTGAATGATGAACTGGCTCATCTTAAATGTAATATGTTGTTGTAGGTGTTGAATGTAGTGTTTTTAATAAACTTTATAGATTAACAGAGCAGTATTTACCGCTATGAGATCATTAAGTGTCAGGATCTAGAATAAAGAAGATACAATCAAATAATCAAGAAGTTATAATTCAGCATTTTATCTTTTGTATGTTATATAGTTTATAATAACTTGATTAATGAAAACAAGCTTTTTGGAATTCTTAGCATATATAAAATTACATCAGTAAGATTGACAGTCACTGATATTTTAAGGCTTCCCCTTCCCCCATGCCATGATACCCACCCAGCCTTCACACCTGCTATCTCTGGAAACATATAGTCCAAATTTTTGTTGTTGTTGTTGTTGACTGCAAATGTAGCTGGGATTTCTTGGAAAGATGATGAAACCTACGCTTACGAGGTTGGAAAAAAGACTATATTTGGGGATCTTTTTTTTGGCGGGCGGGGGCAAGACTCACAGCTTGCAGAATCTTAGTTCCTTGACCAGGAATGGAACCTGGGCCTATCAGTGAAAGTGCCAAGTTCTAACCACTGGACACCAGGAAATTCCCAACAACTTCACAACTTTAAAAATATAATTTCCTATAATTGTAATAGAAGTATCGTTAAAAGTTTTGAATTAATATGCTGTGTTATACACTGTTTTTTGACTTGTGACTTTGTCATTCTGTGTAATTTTTCCTCATCCAGTAAAGTCTTGTCAAAAGTAAAATTTACATAATCCTTTTATACCATAACCATAACCTTAAATCTAGTTCAGAGGCTTCACTAATAGTTCCCACTAATGGTCCCCAAAGGATAATGAGAACCTTTATTTTTGGTATCAACTTCCTTTCCAAATGAATCTCAAGAGTTTTCAAGTTTTTTGTTTTGTACTCATTTAAATACTTTCTTAAAAGAAAACTTTAAGTATAGTTACCTGATTTGGATTATTAGGAAATGGAAAAGGAAGAGGAATTGGAATCTGCAAAAAAAGGGGGGGAGGGAGGGGAAGTGAGTTGTGGGGGGGGGGGGGAGGGGAAGTGAGTTGTGAATAAAACAAAGCAGAACATTTTGTTTTAGCTTTTTTCCCTCATGTGTTCATTGATTACTCATCCGTCCATCCACCCACCCAGTATTTATTGAGCAATTGTATGCTCTCATGGAGCCCACCTTCTAGTTGGTTGAAATTAGCCTCTAGAGTGAACTTCAAGTCATTTTTTTCTTTTAAAAAGTATGCTTATGTTGCTTAATTAGTCAAACCTAAA